GAGTGTGATAATCTCGTATCACTGTTCACAGGGTGGAACACTGCAATCTTACACAGCTGAATAACCATCACAAGATGTTTTTCTTCATCACCTGTTGTTACATCTCATTTAAAATGAGAATGTATTTCCGCTATTAGAGTATTCATTCTTTCCGCTTTGATCTCCAGTGGGTGGAAACATTGAGAGCTAAACCACATTTTCATTGCCTATTACACCAAATTTTACGTATCAACAAACAAACCAACCAACAAAAAGCATAAAAGTCTTTAGCATCTAGGAAGTCAATACATTAAAACAGGAACTAGAGGACATCTAATGAATGCAGAAGGCAGCAGAGTCAAGCAAAAAGTGCGCCTGTTCATTGAATGAAGCGGTGGAACCCTTTTCCACAGAATATGTGGACACTGAAGGTTTACAGAGATTCAAAAAGGGACTGGATACATTCATTAAAGAGAAATCTAGGTCTGGTTGGCAGGTCCTTGAGCTGCAGAGGGCTGCCACTGATGCTTGGCCACCTTCTGCTCATCTTACTGCCACCCACTTTAGCCGCTGCTGGAGGCGTATCAGCTCCAGGACGACGGCTCTGTGTTTGAACAATGTTCAATCAACCCCACAGATTGACAACTCTGTGCAACAAGCAGTGCACTAGAAGCAATTTGTAGGCCGTAACACCCCGTTTTATCAGTCCTACCAAAGGTAGGTGCCGTGCCACACGTCTGCGAACGCAACCTACGGGTATTCGTCTACATCCGTTGGCATGCATACAGGCCTCTTGCCTTTGAAACACGCTTCTGAAGCCCATCTGCTAAAGAAACACTGAAGGTAGTAATGTAGTAATGAAGTAAGCCCAACTGTCGTATGACTCTCATGTCGGAACAGAAGAGAAAGTCATTTGTGCCTGCTGGAGTGTCTATCATTATAATAAGGCATGTTAAGTCTGACCCATAAGGTACATTTCCTGTGGTAGAAGGATGAGCCACCCTCTGGAGAAATCTCCTTTTCTCCATTCATGATAAAGGCAGCAGGGAGCCTAGGGTGATTCACCGCCAACAGCCAGACTGCGGTTACCTACAGTCACACGAGATGACCACCTTTCTCATCCAATGGGACAGAGTAAAACTTCCTTATCAGTGACATAAAACCACACTCCCAAACAGTTCAAACTCAGGTGGTAGGTACACCTCTGCTTTTGAGTCAAGCCCCGTGTTCTTACTCCTTCTTCCTCACTCGGGCAAAACCTGAGGGATGTCAGTAGGAAAAGGGAAAGAAGATTTCAAAAGGTGGTTCTCAGTTTATAAAACCCAAGTCTGACGAGTGCAGTCCTGCTTTGCTAATTTTTGCTATAGGCATGGAAAAGTTGGCTTTTATTAGTTTGGGTGGTGTGTCATGTATTTGTTGTAGCAGGCAGGTAAAGCAGGAGATGAAGACTTGCCAAGGAAGCTATTATTTTTGACAGGTCCAATTTATTGGTACTGTTAGTAGCTAATTGACACATTAAAGTGCTGAACCATGAACATATTTACCCAGAGGTCCTCTAAAGCTTTATTTATGTCTGAACCTCCTAGGAGAAACAGTAAATATTCACCCTAACCAAAATAACTGCTATATGCTAGGAACCAAAGGGCTGAAATTCAAGTGTTCCTGAAGGTCAACACAGTTTCAGAATAGGTAGAGGGTAGTGAGACAGCAAGAAATAATTAACTCACTCACCCAGAAATCATTTTCAATTATAAACAGCATGAGCTGGAGGACTGCTCAGTTCTGCTGAATGAATAACCTTCCTCACTAAATATTTCACCAAATTGGGCAGGCCAGTCACAGTGGGACTTGTTTCCCTTCACTGCAGCAATCATCCAACTGGTTGAAAACAAATTATAGAAAAAAAAAAAAAATCACAATCTACACCAGTAACGTGGAAGAGCAGAAAAGTCTGTTAGTCCCACTAGGTTAACTGGAGCATTAGGAAGCATAAGAGGGCGTATTCAACCTTTTCACCAAATCCAGCCTCCTATTGCTTTGACCTTACGTTAGAACTATGTATAGCACTTGGCTGTAAGAGTAATTAAACCATTTCTTTTCTTCCTAGAAAGCAAACCAAGGCTCATAATGTGGAGAAGCGTAAAGGGGAGCTGCCGATTTCTTCACGCTCCCCCACTCAAGACCAAAGACCGTCCCCTTTCCAAATATTTATTGCCTGTCTTTGCACCAGCCCTGCAGGAAGCTCGTCATGTACACGTTGATCACCCAAATAAAGCTCCCAAGCAACCAAGCACCGTATGTTTTAAACAGACAAGGAGACAAACATGCATTACTCATAAAGTCATGTTTAGCAGCATTCCAAGAGAAACCTATTTCAAGGTGGGTTTTTTTTTTTTTTTTAAACAAATGCGTTTTGTCTTGCATTCAAATTAATCTTGTTAGACCTTCATCTTTCTTGCCTCACTGCTCTCACGCTTGCTTCTCATGCTCACAAAGAGTTAGGAGGAATTCATATATTCCTATCATATGACACTAAAAAAAAAATGTATGCAAAGTTCTGGGGACTGTCACTTTCACAATAAATGCCTCTGGTGGCATCTTGCAGCCTGCATCACAGGAGGTGTAAGAGGTTGCCTTACAGCACAGATTCCTTCTAAAAGTACACACCCACTGCTATTGTATGTTTCTCTAAGCTCTAATACCCTCTTTTAGCTCCTAAGTAAATTTTTCTACAGCTCTGTTCTTGCAAAAGGTCATCGGTTCCACTGTTTGAAACAGAAACTAACACATTCTCTTTTTGGGAGGTGGCTTCATCCCTGTTTCCACCTATGACCAGTAGCACACAGAAGTAAACCCCAAATAACTGAAGTCCCACAGACAGCAAGAATAGTTTACTTGCATGCAGAATGTGGGGCTGAGCCCTTAACGAGGGCTGGACCATCTGATTTCTTGTACAGGAATGCATAAAGGTGGAAGGGCATCGCATGCAATTTTCTCCGGTGGTCGCTCATGTGGACTGGTGGCCTGAGAACCATCGGGGCTGCCCTGCTGCCACGCCATCCTACAGCGACCCGGGGTGCACAGCCCAAGACCACTCTGTGATACCAACCGAAACAAGGGTAAAGCAGGACGCTGTCACGATCATTCCTGACCCAAACTATGACGCTGTTTCTGAAAAACTTCTCCTGCACTCCACAGGAGTGCCCCAGCAACCAGCACAGTGATACCCCGATTTCTTACCTCCTCTCTTTGCCTCTCATCTTCCGGTGCAAAGCAAAGCCTGGCAAAACTCTGAGGTTTCCGATTTGACAAAAAAAAAAAAAACATTTCTGTAGAAGAGGAACTGCTCTGCAAGGCAAATCCTCTCCAGCAACATGAGAAAGGAGTGGAGCGGAGTTGCCTTTGCCTGGGACAACAAAAAGAGTTCTAGTAATTTCCAAGTCCTTCCCTAGCATGTCAAGAAGAACCGCATGTTATCCCTACAGGTATCTCGACAGGGTTATTATTTCTGCTCACAAATGCTTCAGGGAAAACGGGAAGCCAGCTCTGCCCCTTTTTTTTGCAACTTCAGAGTCCCCCACCCGAGCATGGAGTGAGACAGTTGCCATGTTCCCTGTCATGGGGAATGGGATCCAGCTTAGCCACATCAGTCTGTGCAAAGAGGAAGAGGAGGGAATCCTGCTGACATACAAATCCTAAGCTAGGCGTGATGTACTGCACTCCGTGCAACTCCGAAGTACGCTCCTGCTCCAGGGAAGGGTTAGGGCTCAAAGGGCACATTCACACCCACTGTCAGAAGCTAACGGGGTCCCAGCAGAGCCCGTGACTGCTGACATACAAATCCTAAGCTAGGCGTGATGTACTGCACTCCGTGCAACTCCGAAGTACGCTCCTGCTCCAGGGAAGGGTTAGGGCTCAAAGGGCACATTCACACCCACTGTCAGAAGCTAACGGGGTCCCAGCAGAGCCCGTGACCACAAGGAGGGGAGCCTGAGCTAGACTAGCTACTGAAAGCACCTCTGGCTGCCCCT